AACCCCACTTAGAGCACAGAAAAGTGTATAATGGTGTAAAATATGTACAAGTGATCTGCTAATGTTTGGATAGCAGAGAGTGAACATCTGTCTTTTCTTAACGCTGCTCTAAGAAGAGATCATCAACCAACAAAGTTAGCATAGCCTGTGCTATATGCGTGCTGGTGCACAGATTGACAGAGGTCAAGGTGATCTGAGCCACTGTAATGTTGCTATGTTTTCCATAAGGGGAAAGACAAGAGAAAGTTTAAAGCAAATATCCTCTTGTCCCTTATCTATTACTGGTCCAAAATGAAATCCCAGACTTGTTTCTTTATGAAGGCACACAGTAGTGTTTCATTTCAATGACCCGGCAGTCTGCTGCCCAGAAGCTGACTCAAAGGTAGGCTATATTCAGCCTAATCCCCTGAGCCCTAACCACTTTTGGGAAAGTTAAGCACTGCTGAAAGCTTCTGGTGTTGAGTAGGGAGCCTACAGCCAACCAATAAAACCCACTAAGCACAGAGACTGGGGGAGTCTGGTTGCAGCCCCTTTGTGTGTTAAAGCTGCAAAGTCTCCAAGTACAGTCCAGTTGGATGTAAACAGCATTCCTCTGCTGGGGTGGCAAACGATACCTTCCTCCCTGCTGGGCCTCAAGATGTAGCCAGAACTTGTTTACTCTGTAATTTAGAGTTCATTGTAATCTAAATAGGGATTTTTGCAATGCAAATAGGGCTGTACAGAATGTAATACATTTTATTTATCGCTACTGTTTATTATGGCTATATAACTTATCACTCATCACATAGACTGGATTGCAAAACACAATGTTTCAAACACACTTCAACTCTCAGATCATGATCAGTAAAGAGAATATATTATACTTTTAATATGCTCTTTCCCCCACAGTATTTTACAATAGCCTGCATAAACCCCATTTTGCAGAAAAGGATTCCAAGAAATTAAAAAAAAAAAAAAATTAATCTTGATTCATGTGCAAAGGTTCTATCTGATTGCATAAAGTGGGCAGATGTCTAATGGGTCCTTTTATTTGATTTCCTGAAGCGCCCTGTTGTACTGGCTGGTACACATGTATTGGGAAGCCTGCTATTAACCCCAAAACTCAGAGTGTTGGAAGATAATCTTCCATAATGATCTAATGCTAACATACATAATTGCGCTTCAGCATAGCTACAACAGTCTGCTGGACTCTCTGCTCTTTAAAGGTGCAGACACTAGAAATACAGTACAGAGGTTCAGGATCAGCAAACGTTCATGTGAAGGAAAAATATCTCTCTTTGACCTGTAGGAGGTGATGTAGGTTTTCTTCTTCTATAATTTACAGCCTGTTGTAAACTAATAATCAGGCTCAATAAAAAATGAAATTAAAATAGTGCCCAGTGAAGTGGGATGAAGTGGTTAATGTTTGTTACATACCCTGATGCTGGACCTTGATCTTCTGACAACACCCACCATTCTCCAAGGTGACGTTGCAGATAAATTACTCTTTTCATCAAGGGAAACGTGGTAAAGTGATAAATGCTTCAATCACTGTCAGTGGAATACCATGCCTCTTACGCAGCTCAGAGATTAGAAATATTTTATTAGCTGATTACAGTCCTAAGTAAATGTACTTAGATGATGCCTAAGAAGCCTGGTTCTCTGAGCACTACTAAACTACCCAGCTCCTCCTGTACCCTCCTGCATTTAATCTGGGAGTAGGTAACCCAGGAAGACCTGGAACCTCCATCCAAGGAGGCTGTCAGGGCTTGGCCAGACAGAGCCAAGTCTGATCTACAGCTGACAATAACCCTGTGATGGGAGAAAGGTGGAACTAGGTGGCAGCTATAGATTTCATCCAGTCTGTCCAGCTCCTTCAACTCCCCAATTTCAATAATGCCGTGATAAGTGCTGATGTGTTCTGGGGTTTATGCAGTGCTCATCACCATCGTATCTGAGGCTGTGCTCTGTACTGCAAGAGCTGCAAAAGCAGTAGTGTGCCAGGAGATCCTAGTGCCTCAGGCATCCGAGTTCCCATCCAGCACATGCACCTGGGTTCTTTCCTGCAATAAAAAGAGCAAGAGAATTAAGTTGTGAAGTGTTTCTGGATTTTGGCCGAAAATGGAATTGAGGGCATGGTTCAAGAATATTAGTAGATTGAGGAAAGCCTACCTCTTCTTCAGTTCAGACACAGCCCGGATGCCTAAAGACACTCCTGATTTTAGCTGAATGTTGTCACAGTAAGTTGTTTTTCAGCAATAACATTAGTGGTGAGAGTGGTCACCGTAAGAGAGGGTAATGCTGGAGGGAGACACTCAAAATCAGTGCAGGTATTTTGCAGACTGGAGTATCTGACAGTGTTGGAATTAGCAAAGCTGTTTTAGCATTTCCCTTGCCAGTATCCACTCTTGTAAATAAGAATTTTGAGTTTGTTGATATATCTGCAATCAGCAACATGTTTTGTAGAAAGAGTTCTGTGAATTGTGCATTTCTGCAGTATTTGATACCAGAAATTCAGACTGAACATGACATATTGTTCTGCTTTGACTTTCATTTAATTTGAGCAATATGATAACACTGAAATAATGTGAAAGTGGTAGCAAGTAGTCTGCATTTGAATATATTGTCTTAGGTCTCACCAGCAGCAGAAGTTGCATTTACGTAGATAGATGGTAGTCTAAGAGCTCCCATTACGGACTGTTCCATAATGTAAGTAGTTTTTCACTGTCTGTGTATAAGAGGCAGTCCTTATGGGGTTAGGAGTACTAGCAGCAGCCTTTTTTTTTTTTTTTTTTTTTCTAAAACCCCAACAACTCCAAAAATAATAGTCACCATGGAGTAGCTGGTTTAAAGATGGTAGCAGTAAAACTGTCATTTTTGAAAATGCCGTTTGGGAACTTCCACAATTTATTTGCTGAATGATTAGGGAGACTGTCAAAGCGGAAAAGATTTGAAAGTAAACTGTCCAATGTTCAAAGCTACACGGCTTGTCATAAGAGCAGTTACACTGCAGCTAAATCCTTGGTGATGTAAATAGCTGTCAGCTCTCAGTTAAATAGAGATCGCTTTGTAACCGAGTTTTGCCCTACCTGTTAGATAAGCCAGCCTATTGTTTTCAGTGCCAGAGCAACTACCAGTGTCCATAGTGCTGCTCATAGCATATTCCTAGTACCTGTTGTTTTCAACGCACAAAGTAATGAATATTAACAGGAAATAAAATGCCTGATACTTCTTCCTCTGGCTGTACAAGGGTCAGAAAAAATACTTCTGGCTGAAGTGCAGGCAGGGGAACAGCCTTGCTCACCACAGCCGACAGCCCAGGGGAGGTGTGTCTGGCACCGATGGTGCTGCGGCCTCTGTCTCAAGTTTTCTGTCAATTGTGGTAGCATCTAGTAGCACTTCCATGATATTGGTTGAGAAGAGGCAGCGTATGCTTATCTGTCCTCTACTTTTTCCCTGTGAAGTGTATCTAAAATAGTCATGAACATAATTAAATATTTGCAACCACATACATGCACAGAGGGCAGTCTGGATTAAAACATAAACTGAACAAACTTTACAGTACTTTCTCCAGGAATCCAATTAAAAGAATGTGCTTTCCATCACAAAGATGCTATCAACCCCAAAATCATGCTTTATATTCCCTGGACAAACCATTAATACTATTTCAATCAAAATTTGATTACAATAATCCTAACCTGTTTAGTACAAGCCCTGCAGAGCCTTTCATTTTTTTAACTGTATGAAAATAATAATAATGCCATCATCAAAAAAGGAAAAAAAAAAAAGATCCATTTGATACTGAGGTAGTTTAAACTCATTTCAGCAGAGACTGTAGGCTAGGGGCAAATGTTTTCTATAAAGCTGCTTTCTGAACACCAGCGTATATGAAAGTCACATCCACTAAATCTGTGGGTCTTTCTCATGAATGTTTTATCTAATTCCAGCTTTGCTAGCACGTCAGAGGGTTGCGCTTTTGGTAGGTTTCCAGTTGTCTGGTAGAAATCCGGTTGCTTATTCATGGATGAAATCTGAACAAGATGGAAGATACTGCAATGAGTGGAATTACCTTTTGGCTTTGATGAGCTGGTCTGGAACTGGAGGGAGAAGCAACATTCTATTATATATAATTTCCCTCTCTGGTTTTATTTATCTCCTTCCCCTCCACTCCATCCTTGCACTTTTCTCTGGGCACTTGACAAATCCACAAGTGCCATTAACGTTGCTCCTTGGCTGAACATTAAATGAACATTTTTGAACACGACTGCTGACTCCTCCCTATCTTGCACCTCACTGACATGCCTGGGTCTTGTTGGCTCTGCGCCTGGGATTATACATGTTCTTGGAATATCCCAAGGGAAATCCCATCAAACTTCTGTTCACATGATCTAATGATTGTTTGAAAGTGCCTGGTTTTGCAGCATCTTTCTTTTAACATCTGAGTTTTGAAGTTTGTATATTTTATTGGACTTTGGAGAACTTTTTGATCCAGGTAACTTCTTTTTGCCTGGCCATGAAAAACTTTACTGCAAACTATGTGATGTCCATGTAAATACTGAGATATAGTTAGTCACTGGATATTTGCCTTGAAGACAGAATACAAACTATGAAAATGCACCAACCTTTAGCCGACAACCATTATGTGTGGTACCTCCCTAATAGATGTAGTGCCTTGTGCAGAGTTCAAGGCTCGCATATTTAAAGACTGAGGGATTTTCTTCCCACAAAGTTAAAAAGAAAAATGGTACTGTTGTAGTTAAAGACAGGGTTATTTTTACTGATTTAAAATGTGTTGTGAATAATATGAACAAGTGGATAAAAGTCCACATGCAAACTAGTCAATATAGGATATTTTTATCTACCATTGTAGTCTACACCACTTCTGTATTAACCATCTTAAGCAAAAATATGCCAGACCATTTGGGCCTTAGTATAATGATGTTGTGATTTATTGCACTCTCAGTTTCCATCCTGCAGCAATTACCAGAAGAGCTGATAATGGTCTGCAATTTGTTTTCCAGAACTGGGAGTAGCTGCCAGCAAGAGCCGCTCACAGGGAAAGGCAGTGACTGTTTACCTGTGCTGCTCAGCCAGACCAGGGAGGACAGGTCAGTGACAATCCTCTGGGGATGCACAATGAAGTACCAACCTGTTGAACCGATAACAGCTGTTTCCTCCAAGATGATGCAGTGGGACCCAACAGTATAAAAACTGACTTAGTATTTCTCTAAAAAATATGAGACGTGACTAAAATAATGGACAATGTATCAGTCTTTCTCTGCTCCAATTCATTCATATTGATTTAAGACATGTCCTTGATTCCAAGAATCAAGTGACACACACCCTGTTTATAAGAGGTTTACAGCTCTAGCTATTGGTGGAGATTCTTTATAATGGAATTTACTGTAAGCACTAGTTATAGTTACAAGGAATCTTTATAATCCATGGGGTTAGAGATGTTTCCTGTTTTGAACCAGTTTCTTGATGACCTTGGAGTCAGTGTATTGAAGCTCAACACACATTTTTCATAACTTGATCCTGCCCAGCTGTGACAACTGTTTATCAGCTGCCAAGGGGTGAGATCCTGTGAATCTCACTGCAGAGGACAGATATTAATCTTCAGATATAAGATGATTTCATACTTATTGAAAGCTTTTGGGTTTCCCTAACTATCAACAAGGTTAGTTTAGTTCTCTTTTATAGGAAAGGGCTTACAAACTAGAGAAAAGTAGTTTGACATAAGATGTCATAGCCTAGATATTAGTAAATGTGCAGAGTAGGATTTCAGCAGTTAATCAACTGAGGGCATCAGATAAAACACAAATATTTTGCAGACTGAGAAAAAAATTTTTGTTTTCTCTGAGAAAATGAAAAACTTGGTCTATATTTTGTCAATAGAGAATGAAAATGATTTTTTTAAAAAGCTGCATTTGACTTAGCCTGTATTCTGACTCCTCTTCTGCTAGTTTTTCTTGTGTATTTAGACTCTTTGCTCTACCTGTGTTCAGTACCTGGTACTTTGGATGAGCAGTCATGTAAGTAACTGTGTGCTACTGGAGCATAATAAACAGAGATTATATTCTTCTACCTTCATTAGGCTCAGTGTCTGAAGTTTTAGAATGGTAAAATGAGCTTCTACTGTGCTTTATCTAAGGGAGAATGGTTTGCCTTCCTCAAAATGTACCATATTTTTTTCATGTAAGATGGCCGGAAAGAGAGGAAGGATTCCTACTGGCATTCCTCTTGCTGAAAGTCAGAACATAAAGATTTGGATGACATCCAGTAACTGAACTAAAACCAGTCCTATGTCAAGACAGTGTAACAACCAGGGGATTGTAGATGCCAAGCACAGGTGAGTACTCTGCGTTATCACTTCTTTCTTCTCTCTGCTTTCTGTCACACACATGCTTCTGTTTGCGAGCACTCTCTCCTGCAGTCTCCAAAGTCAGTGGGATTCCCACTAAGTTTTCAGCAAGAACAGGAATATCAATGACTGCAGGCACTTCAATGCACTTTCACTTTGGCAAGGAGGCTTAAGTATTTTCCCACCATCCTCCCCATTAGCAGCAGCAGCAACTCTTTTTTTTTTTTTTTTTTTTTTCCCAGCTCATTTTGCTCCTAAACACTTCTGAGAGGTTATACTGAAGTCACTTTTCGGTGAGTAACCAAAATAATCAGGTATTAATTATGGCCAAGAACAAGGTCCAAAGTGTGACTCGTTATAGTTCTTCGATTCATCTAGAGTAAATAGGAGCTTATCTGTGGGGCTGCCTAGATTTTTTACTTCAGTGATATCTGGAACTATAGCTGAAGATCTTAGAGGAACCTTTGAACCCACTATACTAGTTTGAACAGGTTTGTAGCCTTTGGCTTTTTAATCTTTCCTTCAGTTCACTGTTAGATTTGAGTGATTGCCGAGTAGTGTAAAAGCCTGGAAATTGGATATTAATCTTGAAACTCTTCTTTAGATTCTTTTCCCAAGGAGGATGTTACACATCAAACATTGCCCAATCCAGCTGGGCACAGAAGAGTGTTTTCCACTTTTATTTCAGCTCTTAGTCTCAATGGAAATGGAGGAAACTCAGTACTTTGCAAAAGTAGACATTGGAGCCACAAAGCAATATGAAGATGTCTTTGTTTAAATGACTGTATGGCTTATTCTCATTAATAATATGGCTTTGCTCTCACTTTAAACCTTTCCAGTAAAGGTATCAATATGTTTTGCAATTTATAATTCACAAAGAAAGCACATAGTTGCATCTTATTATTGTGGCTTCACAGAATAAGCTATGCTTGAGGTGGGAAGAGATCATGATATTTAAATGCCCCAACTGGCTTAACAGAAAATATTAACCATTTGTCTATATTTTAGTCACTGTTACATTTCTACCACCCTTTTGATGAAACAGAGATTTGAATAATTATTTCATAGGGGTTTGTAATGTGGAAAAAAGTTTAATTCTGAATAGATATATATTAGTACTTCTGTATTTTCTATGAAAGAAAATGTTGGACTTGAGTACTTTATAAAAGACCCCAACTTTTTATATTGGAAGTTCAGCTCATAAGTCACATAATGCTTTTGAAAACTCTACCTTGCATGCCAACCTTTCAGTCCTTTGCCCATGTAATTCCTGTTGATTTAAGAATTCCAGCCAGTGCTTGGTTGATATGAAACCCAGACAAATAGAACAAATTAGTAATGCAAGTGGTTCTTCTCATGTATGTATGCATATCTAAATAATAAGATGTATGCCTAGTTGTGCTTTTTATCTTCAGCTACAGTATATGGAAGAAGTGGGTAGTATAACCAGACCCTGGTTATTTAACTAAATTTCCTTTTCTCATATTTATTTAAGTGTCAAAAAGTGGTGCTTGCATTCATCCACATATGGATGCAGTGTCAAAGGCTTCTCAGGGACTCCAGAGGCCTCCAACTTACTCATACTTTAAAGACAATAGCATCAATTTTTATTTCTGAAAGATTTTAAGATCTGAAGAGAGCTGTCATTGATTCTGATACATTGAGTCTGAGCCCAAGTCAGACCTTAATAAATGCTACGAGTTGGCCATGCAGGAAGCCTGTTGTAACTCTTAACTTGGGTGAGCACACCAAAATGAAATTCAGCAAGGAAACCTGTGTGTCTTACAGGTGGTGTCTTCATCCTGTGCAAATCAGAGTAGGTTCGGTACCATTAGGGTTTCACACTTGATTTCTTGAGTGTGTGCTGGTTTACCCCCTTTTTGGTCTGGCCCTTTGCTCCTGGCAGGCTTGTAAAGAGCAAATTGTATTTGCAAGTCTAATAATGTGGCTGAAACTGGTAATTACGATACATACTTTTGGAAGATCTATAATATAATTAGCAGCTGCTGTGAGTTGCAAGATGACAATAAGAGAAGATTTATGTGCTTCCTTTTAACTTAAGCACGGTTTACTTCGATAAATACAATTCTGAGATAAGAATAAATGCATATTGCATTGGCCAATCTTCCCTGTGACACAGGAATATGTATTATCTCTTTTCTCCAATTATCCAAAATGATGTCGCTTTCCCTTTTTCTCGGCTTTGATTGCCTTTTTAAGTGTTCTCTACCACCCTTGCCAAAGGGGTGCAATTATCCCTACAGGTTAAATCTCTTGATTTTGGGTGGAGAAGTTGTGTAAATGTGTTGCCAGTGTGGCGGCTTGGTGAATCAAACTTTCTTCCCTTACATAACTTCTTTTATTAAGAGTTCCACCTGATAGTCTGAGGAAGCCTTGGTTCTTTGGGTAAGAAAATGACTGAAGCCAGTGAGCAAAAGAGCTCTTACTGTCCTGTTCTGCCTGGTCCCTTGGCCTTGCTGTGCTGCAAAGCTTGTTGCTGGTCTGCCTCTTTCTGTGATGTTCTAGCACAGGGATGGTGTGCACTGTATGTAAGTGGCAGACTTGGGATAATCATTTACCACCTCTCTAGACTTCATTAAGCAGAAACTGGCCTAAAGTGCTAGTGAATAAACTGTGATCAGAGCTTACCTGGGCCTTGAAACTTAAGGTAGGAGCCTAGCTGACAAGAAGTCTAGCTCTCTTATGATGTCTCAAAAGCCCAGAGGATTCTCAGAGGCCAGCTCAACCACAGATGAGTGCACTTTCTGACACAACCTTAAGAGAAAGGTCTGCGAGAAGCTCCTTGCCAAAATTTCATCCCTTTCAGGCGTGCTTTCCCCAGAAGCACCAATGACTTAAGTTCTTCTGCTGAGGTTTAGGATTGCAGAGCTCATTACAGGGGTGTAAAGTCTCTGTTGAGTGTCTTCCTTGCTTTCCATCTATGTCTAATATGGTGAAGACAGATTTATTCTATTGCCTTTCAAGCCCTCTGTGCTCAGAAGGGATTAAGATTTACATGTTATACTGCCCCCTCAGAGAAGGCGGAGTGAACATCAAAACAGCCATGCAACTGGAAGTATGACTGAAGCTAATAAAAACCCGTTCTCTTGAAACATCCTTGTTACTGAGCTCACCGCGTGAGGAATACTTCTGTAACCTGCCAGCCTTCAGCTCAATTGTACTGATGTTGTGCAGTTCACTGATTAGAAACAATACTAGATGCACTTATGATAAACTCTTTGTTGGACCTCTAATCTCTGCATGGCTACACTCATTTGAAATGTGCAAGCAGACTACGTGCTGTGCAGCACTATACATCTCGGTTAGGTAATAACTAAAATGCCAGAAAGATCATGACAATAATAATAATGATGATGATGATGATGATAAAAATAAAATGATGTCATTGGAAAATCTCTCATGTTGCCTTTACTTAGTCTGAGCAATTTAGAGAAAAACTCCCAGCTCCCAAATGTTGGATTGGGAAAGAAACTCCCAGACAGCAAAACTAGAGGCATATTTATCATTTATTTGATAATGGAGTTGCTTTTTTGCAGAAAAAGAGGAGACGCTTCAGATTTGAAACATTAAAGTTGCCTGAAGTACAGAGTGAGTGAAATGGTGGAAATGTGAAACTCTCGATTTGACTCTTCAGAGGTGTAAGGGGAGTAAAAGCTTGCTGTTTCAGCTGTTTATAAAAGCATCCCTGTTTTTTTTCATGAATGTTTCCCAAATGCCACAATTTTAATCCCAGTTCAGAAGGAGTTTAGCTGTTTTTCAGAAAGGGGTTAGACCTAATGAAAGCTTTTCTGCTGATTTTGATAGGAGTTTGAAAAAAAACCCAAAAGATAATAAGCTCTAACCACTATATTTTCTGGTTTGCTCTTGTAGTAGTAACTGCGCTCCCTAAAATTTGCAGGATGATCTGGGACTTCATCCAACTCATGCTGAAAATCCACTCAAATAGAATCCTTGATGAAAAAAATTAGAGGTGATTACTCCGTAAATATAATGCATTGTCTGTTATGGGTCTTTCAGTTACTCCTGCATTTGTTCCAAAGCCTGGTACAGGATGCTTAGGAGAACTGCACAGTATTACAGGCCTTTGTTTGAATTCCATCCTTTTTATTTTGCAGTTTTTTGGGTTTTTTTTAATATAAAAAAGGAGCAGGAAATTTATGAAAATGCAGGCCATGTCAACATAGTTCAATTTCTCAACTTGTCATCTTGTCTCAGTTCTAACTGGAAGAGCCCGAAGAAGGCCCTATGGCCAACTTGTCAGCTCTAATCTCCCCTGCTACTCTTAGCGGATATTTTATTAACACTTTTTAAGACTATTTTTTATTTATTTTGCAGTCTACATGCTGAGGCAGCAGCCAGTTTGTTTCTCTTCATCTTTCTCTCTTCTTGGTCTCAGCTGAATGAGGGAGAGGTTGGCTCTTCTGCCATCAGAGTCCACAAATCACGGCAAAAGGAATTGTTGCAGTTTTCATAAATGTGGTGTTACTTGAAAATTATAGACTGCAACTGCTTATTGCAGTTCTGTGCAATGGCTGTAAATTGGGCCCTGTATCTTTCTGGTGACAGTCATTCCTGCAACAGGCCTTTTAGGAAATTGGAAGGGAAATTAAACAAGAGCAAGGGGTAGCTTTCCTTTTATCTTTGGCATGCCTTCCTGAAATCCTTATCTATCATATTCAGGCAGAGATGTTACTGAAATGGTGGTGGATTTAGATGTTGTCTGTTTCTGAAGCTACAGACTGCTGATCCTGCATGCTCTTTGAGGCAGATCTGTTGACAGGGTCTAGCTACACATGAAATTTTATGAATGATGGACTGGGATGACATGGAACCAATGGAATATGTTATTTCTCCATATTCACTGTTCATTCATTCATAAATCAGCTTTCTCAAGCCCATTTAAAAGGATCGAGCTGGACATGCTGTGGCCATAGGTAGGGAATGGTTTGCGGAGCAGAGAGTGGTCA